AGCGGTCCCACCACAATTTTAGAGTGAAATGCCTCTCCAGCGGCGCTTCTACGAGTACTTATACGAGTACTTCATTTTATTTTTGAGGTTGACTCCGCCATTAATGAGGCAAAGATTCGACATCAGTCTAACACTGATTTGCTCCAAAGCCTTGATGGAAGTGAACCACCGAAAAGCTCACAAAGCTGTGGCAATTTAGTGGAATTTGAAAGCCGCCCTATCTTAGGACTGGATCGCTTCCTATTTAGAAGGATAGGCCATATTATGTGCTACTATACGTGGGTGCGTAGTTTCTCACGGCAGTATTCTCTTGTACTAGTTTCAAGTTCCACAAAGCGATGTGTACGATCCACGACTCACTCCTTGTCATAATCAAAATTAAAAAGCAGACGACATAAAAATATAGGGACAATCGGTGTGTGGGGGTGCATGGGAGGTTTATGAATAATGACATCATGATGCCGGCCAACCGCAGCGCTAACCCGAGTCCATAGGGCTAACATTAATAGAGTGGTCTTTTCCGCTCGGGAATACCTGTGAATTTTTCGAAAAAGCGCTTGTTCTCATGAGAGCCAGAAGTTGGTACCGGTACACTGGCTAACGGCCATGCAAATTGTTACTATCGCGATGAAGTACAGACCTTTGTTTCCTTGTCAGATGTCCAGTTTGCGAGTCTCGATTCATGCTTGATAACAATGCTTTCGTATGAAAAGAAGCCTTCACAACCCTTTTTCGCCGATTGCTGCAGGAATAACTATTGCGACCAAAATGATTGCTTCGAATCCTGGTGGAAGTTCTATAAAGATGTGTGCACGGCCGATACGTATAAGTTCTATAAAGCAGTGTAGTCGCCGCATACTTAGCAGTATGAGTGTGCAAGTATGGGGAGCTCCCCACAGCCGAAGAAGCGCTTCAGCCGAAAATTGAGAAGGTCCATCAAAGCGTGTCGCACGCAGGAAGTTGTGTGAGGGTGGTATCGGCGTGTTAGTCACACACGCGCAGGCAGGCGGGTGACCCAGTGGGGATAGAGACTTACCGTTGCTTCTTCACCTTAGAATCAGTTGAATTGTACAGGAGAGCGGGTTTGAATGAGGGATGGGTATTGATGTGTGCGTGAAAGAGGTAGTGAAGAGGGGAGGTGCCTAAGATTAAAAGCCAGTAAATAGCTGGGGAGGTGGGTGGTCGAGAGGTGGCAAGCAAGATGGCGGCATTTCTTCGCTTCGTTCGCCAGCGCCTCAAATTTATACGGAAGCAGCCGAGCCCAGATTTGTAATTCGACTATTCCTCCGAGGCAGCGAGGATGGCTTCAGTCAAGCAGGACCCGCAGAGAGGAAGGGCCTTAACATCTGTGTGCGGGTTCAGGAAGTTAAAAGTGAGGAGGCGGTTAACTCAAAGGAAGTTGGATGCGCACGCGAAGGATTTACGAAAGAAAAGTTTAGAGTTGGCTTGGAGGCTACTTGTGGTATTTGTGATTGCGTGTATTTTTTTTTGTTTTTGCATTACAGCGCGATGCGCGCGTGTGCCGGCGATCCTCGCTTCGTGCGGCTGTGCAAAGTGGCTCTACCTCCCCCCCGCGCCCAAGACATTCCCAGAAAATAGAGGGCCAGTGCGCGATCGGGCGCGCTGCGCCGCCAGCCATATTGCCTGAAAAGCTTTTCTTTCGAAAATTTCCATATTTTACCGTTTCATTCACCGTATATACCCCCCCTAGTATTCAGCTCTCTAACTTTTTCATATCCTACCTAAAGATTCTTGAGAACGCGTTGATGTGTTAGGTATTTGTAGCCGTAGAGCAGTATTTTCGTGCTGTTCGGCTGCTTCCAGTTGTTTAGTGTAGGTACGCAGCACCTATTCGATTATCACAACGAAACTGGCTGTATTTGCAAGAAGTGATAGTTCGCCAAGCTGTAGAGGAGGTATTTAGCACTGTGACCGAAGCTTCGTCCAATGCAGTTACTGCTAATGCCAATACGAAATTCTGACTCGAGCCACGTTCACAGCAGGTGTGATTCCCTCACACGTCCACCTATTCATTCTCTACCGTTTCCCTTTTTCCCCCACTCTCCGGACTCTTTTGGAACCGATTTATGAATTTCTGAAGTTTTCGTAGCAGGCACCGCCCACCTACAGCACGCCCCGCCCATAATGGGTGTGTCTCACTCATTTCGTCCGCCAACTGGTTGCCTATCGTTTGCCACTTTTCCCACTCTCCGGGCTCTTTTGGAACCGGTTTACGAATTTTTGAAGTTTCGTAGCAAGCACCGCCCATAATGGGTGTGTCTCACTCATTTCGTCCGCCAACTGATTGCCTATCGTTTGCCACTTTTTCCACTCTCGGGCTCTTTTGGAACCGAACTACGAATTTTTAAATATGTAGCTCACAACTGTGCGCACGCCCCGCCCACAGTGGGCGGGGCTTAGCTCAGTTCATGTGTGTTCCGTACATCTTGGCCCATGCCCTACCTATCTCACCCTTCACCATGCCCCTCAAACTGACCCTTCCGGTAACGCCGAATTTCCGGACAGACACGCAGACAGACACAGATACAACTTTGGTTTATTATATAGGTTGGAAGGAAAGTCCTGTCAGTGTTTTTTAAGAAGCTTACAGTTTTTGATTCTCGATGCTTGAACATGACGTAACATGCCATGCTTGTAGAACATTCTGAGAGCTTTCGTGCAAGAGGTGTGTGAGGGCGCCTGCTCTTTCCTGGGTCTAATTACGATGTTAGTTTCACAGGAGCATCTTCGGGTCATCATCATGTATCGGTGGCCCCGCAGCACTGGAGCCACGGCAGCTGTCAGCAACATCAACAGTGCATTGCTGGAGGGCACCTGTACCATCAGGACCGTTCACTTTTGGTTCGCTCGCAGGGCGAAAAGAGACTCGAACCTCGAAGGCAAACCTTGGTTGGGACGGTCCCACGGAACGGAAGACTCCACCATTCTCGGAGCAAACAAGGAGGATACGGAGGCTACCGACCCGCCAGTCTGCGACGAAGGCTCGGATTTACCTAACTGACAGTAGTCGACGCCATGCAAGATACGGTCGCCCTCGACTTACCGAAAATACTGGCTCGATGGATCACTCATACCTTGACCGATGGCACACTGCGCACCCGGGTACGCCTTGATCAGTCTCCCCTTCTCCGCTTTCGTCAAAAAAAAGTTTCTAGAGATCTGCCTTAGTGCGATAAGATGGGTCCTCCATGATTTCTACCCACACAGTACCGTGTGTCTCTCTCAAGGAGAACTTCTAGCAGTGCAAACCGGGCATGCATTCCGAGAAGGTGGCGCCTGTGCTGCTCCAGCGGAGACGCAGTGGCGATGCTGTGCAGAACGGGCTGGCCCTTTTTATGAACAGACGGTTCACCGCTCCTTTCGCGTCGCTCTCAGTCCTTAAGCCGATGGGAATCGCTGGAGAAAATGACGAAGACTTAGTTCGGGCCCTCGCTCGTAGTACGCAACCCCATACCTGCTATGGAGACCTACCAAATATCTGAGGAGCAAGGCTTGGAGGCCAGTCCCCGCTTGCTATATTCTCCTGACCTAGTCCGCTACGACTAGCTTACCTCACTCCTTTAGGGCATCGCTTAGCCAGCAGAACTTACAGCCAACATTTTTGATTGACATCAGTCGAGAATCCCCGGGACTTTACCCTCGCTGGCAGCCTCCCAGTTGCTTGGGAGAGGCGGAATGCTTGCCTGCCATGTTAGGCTAGAGCACTGTAGTGCGCAACTATGACGCACGCCTCATTTGCTGACTTAATTGCCCATTGTATGTTGAGCTTAGAAAAAGTTAGAAATAAAAAAGCCCAACAGGACGAGGCACTTTCCTTCCAACCTATACGTTATATATATAGGGGGATACTATTGGATGTTTCATTTTGCACACTGTGAGAACCTGCTGAACATTAGTGCACTATGCGTGCATGATAAATATAAATGCATACGCCAACAGACACTACGAATAATATATAGCAGGATAGCCCGCTTCCACTCGTTTATAGAAATAATTTTACAAATTATTGTTACATTTGATAAATTCTTCTGTGCACACGAGGTTGGTAGGTGGAACTTTTATTATGGTCCTGACGTTTCGACTAGATCGTCTTCATCAGAGGGCCTAAACGTGGCTCATGAAATGCTCTCATCTCACCGCCAAGAATCTCCCTTTCCCTAACGTTTTGACAGACTGTTGAGAAAACCATCCGAAAATCCCGAATGAGAGGAAAGACTCATCCAGTCCACCACAGCGAGAGCGGAAGTAGATGTCACAATAGTGGGTTAGTCAAATTAATGCAAGAACTCACGGGCTGCCAATTTGTATTATAAAAGGATACAGTCAGAAATCCCACGTCCTTACCCGCTCACATCAATAAGCTCGCAGCTGCGACGACAAAATGAAGAGGCCATTCATTATAGATAACACTCACTGCCGGTTGTTCATTCTAGGATTTCTTGCAGAAATCCAGAATGCTTCTAGCGCTCTCCTGACAGAAATCTTAGTCTCGCATGCCAGTATCGGGTGGTTTTCTCGACTAGTCTGTCAGAAACGTTAGAGGAAGGGGAGATCTTTGGCGGTGTAGAGAGAGCAATTTCAAACCATGAGCCACGTTTAGGCCTCTGATGAAGACGATCTAGTCGAAACGTCAGGCCATAATAAAGTTCCACCTACCAACCTCGTGTGCACAGAAGAATTTATCAAACGTAACAACAATGCCGAGGTTTTACGAAGAGAGCAAGTTGGACATTACAAATTATTGTTTTTCAGTATACAGCGACAGTACAAAGACTGCACGACTTCCTGTCATGCCTGCTGCACCCGCAAAGCTGAAGAAACCCCTCCGTGAGTGCTGCTTCCTGCATAGACCTGATCTCTCTATTCCAAAATGGTTAGCCAGTAAAGTTACAGGGAGCCTACGACTACAACCCACGGTTTCACCACTGCAACCCACGCAGGAAAACGACGAGACCAACGTTTCTCTAACCAGAGGTGAAATGAGGAAAGGTTAGAAACCTCATTCGTTGTTAAACATAGACCATCAAAGTGTCTAAGTAGATCTAGTTAACGGATAGACCCGGTTTGTAGCCTGTAAGAAGTTAGAAACTCCTAAAAGCACAATCCATGGTGATAAGTTGTCGGTAAGAAGTCGTTCACACTTTGCGATGACGCGCATCGACGCGGTGCTACTGCAATGGCGCTCTAGTGCTACGAATGGGAAGGAAGCCGCAGACGGGTGTTGATCGGCGCCGGCCGCATGTGCAGAGGAATAGGAGGGTACGTGACTGTGCGAAGGCAGAGCTTACACCCCCGAAGTCGATCGACACCCATTTTCGTGGAGCGCTATTCCAGGGGTAGCGCGTTGACGAGCGTCATCGCGAAGTCTGAGCGCTGCAAACGATGTTCTGGTTAGTAAATGCTAGTTCGCACAGCTGTGAATGGAACTTCGAATGTAACACTCAACTATGCCCTCAATAAAACCCTCTTGATTGCAGCCCTTTTTGGGCGATATGTAGTAATGCAGTAGAGAAACACCGAGTGCGTGTATGAAGCGCCTAACGACGAAAGGAGAGAGTACACTGGTCGGCAAGAACATCGTTTACCAAGGGGTAAACATTTAACGGGCTACATTCGCGAAACGTAGACAGCTACAGGTCACAAACCTAGTCCTAGTCGCAGAATTGGCGAGTGACTCATCTGGATAAGAAGCAAAGAACATCGAATTTTGAAAGTCAGGAAAACAGGCGAGATACATCCAGAACTGCGCGTACAACTGAGTACGCAGGAACGGCGAGTGCACATTCTCTCATAGTTTACTCCCGGGCAACATGTGGCCACAAGTGGGAAAGAGAATCAACGTCTTCCCCTCCCTGGCCTCTTTTGAAACGGGTTCCCTTCCCATTGCCTTCTTCTCACTTGGCAGCACTGCGCGGGTCATAAGTAACTAAATTCCTCCACGATTTTTACGTTTTCTGACGGTAGTAGAACACGGTGCATTTGGGAGGTGGTCAGCTCAGGCAGCTAATCTGATAACTTTCTGAGCAAAGCGGAGATGGGTAGCAGCCTAAGTCCTGAATCGCCTCCTGCACAGTCAAGCAACCTACCCAATAAGATCGGTCAATCGACGCAAAGCTAGACCGAAGGAGTGGGAACGCTGCTTTGTACACCGTGGTGGCTCTTGTAAGTCCTTTAAAGGCCAGTCGCATCACAATTTTCTACGATTTCGAGTGTGAGAAAAGTGCTTTTTTCCGGGATTGGACCCACCAACTCTGGATTTTTTTTACCCCTCATTCCTTGAATCTGTATGTGCACCAGTTCCATACCAAATTGGATACTTTTCAAATCAAATTGGATGCTTCAGACTGGACAGATCACTAATCAGCTCACTCCGACAATCAAACCCATATTTTGCGTCTTCATGTAGAATTTCGTCCTTTTTTCCAAAATTTTCATATGTTTGGGCTGCTGGGTGGGACCCATCCACGTGAGACTCTACCCTCTCCGCAGAAGCGCCGCCAAATTGCCTAAACACCTCATATTAGCAGTTTGAGGTCACAAGTAGTAGGTCTATTCCCTCATCACTTCGAAGCAAATCCTTGAGCATAGCTTTCCCCTGAAGAGGGGAGTTCCACTTGGCGTGATCTGATGGCTCAACTGTCCGAAGCAAGGTGAGGGGTCGTGTCGAATTTGATCTGGCAATGCCCAATTTGATTTGCCAAAGTGAATTCGAAAAGTGTTCAGTCTATTCGAAAGGTTTTCGATTTGATTCGAAAGGTTTTCGATTAAGTTTGAGAAGTGTTCGATTTGAAATGCCTGATTTGAAACGAAAGTGGTATGTATAGAGTCAACAGAAAGACTATTTTTCCAGCACCGAACGACGGGCGTGGGAAAGGCAAGATCGGCGAGGCAGTGAAACCTGAACAGCAACCTTTGATGCAGCCTGCCCTGGCGGCTGGAGGAAAATCGTCTCCGCTGCCAGCACGAAAACCGTTTCCGATGCCAGCACAGAAATTGTCTCCGATTCCAGCACGAAAAATGTCGCCGATGCCTCCACGAAAGTCGACTTCGACGCCAGCACAGATACCCTCTCCGATGCCAGCACAACGTACACAGTCTGATGTCACCGTCAATAAGACTACGCCGCAATCAGTCTATTTGCCACCAGTTTTCACGTACGGTGGTCCTGCTACATATTCGGATAACCGCGCTCGTATGCTGTAGGTGGGACGAAATGTGGAGAGAATTTAATGAAAAATCAGTATCACAAAATACATACAGTTACTGATAAATCATTTTGTTCAATTTGAAGATGATTTGTTTATGTTCTCTTTACACATGTTCCATACATGTCTAGTAAGAGCCCCGCTCACATTTCACGGACGAAGTACGAGCAAATGAATAGAAAATTGCCGAATAGTGTAGTGGTTATAATGGTTGGCTAGCGGTTGGTCCCTGCACCGCCTTCTTTTGTACCTCCCAGTTTTGACAGTCGTCGTTCTAAATCTGTCTGCGCCATCTCTCTGCCACTCTGATCATCTGAGCTCTTGGCTTGGATCCTGGTTACGGAAAAAAATCGCAAATGTGCGGCAACGTATCCCCCCCCCCCACCGCGTACGCCATCGT